ACCCAAACTAATTTTACTTCATATTCTCAACCCAAAAAAACGATTAATGATGAATAGAAATCCCAAGTAAGAAACGAGTACCGTTTGCCCCTGAGAAGTTTCAGAGGTCGAGGAAAGAAGGATAGTTCCACCAGGTTTTAGAATTCTTGAGATGTCAGCAAGCAATTGTTCGCTAGGAAAGTCGAGCGATTTACAGAGAGAGACAATGCCATCAACTGAGGAGGACTCCAATGACATTAGACCTGCAACGAGACAGACAAATATACAAGCACTCTGGGACATGTTGTAAAGGTACTCTAATGAGCTGCAAATCCTTTTTTTTTTCCCAAAGGAATCTTTTCTCGACATAAAATGAATTACACAACAGTTTTATCAACCAAGGAAAAACCAATCGAACAAAGTTGAACATCATCAACTATATATCCAGCTGAACGCAACATCACCTACTCCGAATTTTTTTTCCAGAAAATTGGATTATACAGCTATCACCTATCAGACAGATCAACGCAAATAAAAACCAATTCTACCAAGTGCACACGATCCAACTACTATAAAGCAAAGCATATTTCTACATATATTAAAGAACTGATAGAAGAATTACTTTCAGACGAAGCTTGAGTAATGACAAGGGGATCAAAATCTTCAACTCCTTCCTTCAACCCCTTAACAGCATCACGAACTGCACTTACAGATACGGCTATCAAATCCGTGACCACCAAACACTTATCCTGCCCCATTTTCAGTTACCTACACAAAAGTGCAAGAACAAAGCACAACCCCAAACAAACAAACAGTAAATAGATACATAGGCAGACCCAAAAACTGAAAATCATGGATCGGGGGTCTCTACGGTGAGTCATTAAACAGCAGACATCTAATGTGCAATATCAGCGGTTGGATACATTAAAAGTATATTTAACAGTCAAGAACTTTTCTTATAAAATTAGAGAACACTTAAAAAAAAAAAATACATTGGCACAAAAACAACAAACTAAGTTCTCATATCTCCCTTCCAACACAGTGCCAATTTTTTCTTATTACCATAGTCATTCATCACCAAGGACACCAAATTAAAAGAAAAAAAAAAAAACACTCGTAAAACACTCAGAACAACTTAAAAAATCAAAAGAATGTGAGATTACCAAGAAATAAACAAATTAACCACACGAATTAAATTACACATGATAGATATAATAGAAATAAATTGAAAACAGGTACAAAACCAAATAACAATGTCTTTGTAAAAAAATAATAAAAGAAAAGAAGAATCAATAATTCATTCATGGAAACATTTTACCGCTATCACGGCTACTGATGCAGTCTTTTTCTTGCAGCGGGATGGAGCACTTGAATTTAGAGATGAAATAAAGATAGAAAAATTCTTAAGCTTCTTTGGATGATTTTTTGAAGGGGTGTTCTTACTTTTTTCACATGCAATTTTTGTTTTGGCCAAAATTTGCGGCCATTGGATCTTTTAATAGCTATGGCACAGCAATATCTGCTGTTTAAGTAAGCACCGCATAGCCCCAAATCCGAAAATCATAACCGGATAACCTATTATTCAACTCCTCAGTCCAGTTACCGTCGTCGGAAAATTACAGCACGGAGAGGCAAATTGGACCGCGGCGGACAATTTGCCGCGGATCCATTTGAAAACCGAAAAAATAAAGAGCATAAATATTTCATGACAGGGCATCTAGAGANNNTTAATGTGAAAAGCAAAATGTTGTACCGAAAAAAAATGTGAGAAGTAAAAAAATATTAATGATAAATTTTGTAACTGAAAATAGAGAGAAAATTTTAGAGGTTTTATTAAAAGGGTAAAATTAAATGCTAAGCTAGCAATTATATATATATATATATATATATATATTAAAAAAACAATTGTTTATAAGATTCTAAAGTTGTTTAACTATGCTATTAAAACAATTTACTAATTGTTTTTAATTTTTTTTTTCATGAAATATAAAAGAAAAAGATAATATTGATGTTAAAATACATAACTTGAAACAATTGTTTATAATTATGTAATTTATATTTATTGTGAATTATTATTAGTTGGTATTAGCAATAACTATTATATATTATAATAAAAACACACATGATTACACTCATTAAGATGTATTAATGTGAGAAGTAAAAAATATTAATGACAAATTTGTAACCGAAAATGGAGGGAAAATTTTAGAGGTTTTATTAAATAGGTTTTATTAAATGCTACATGCTAGCAATTATATATATATAGATTATTATTTAATTAATGTAACGTATCAAAATACTTATGTACATGGTGAATTTTATGCTGAGCCTCCAACCCCTCCAACACACGTTTTACTTGAACATAATTAGAAGTATAAATAAGGCGAGCCATCGTTAACCTTCTAATACTCGGCTGGATCATTTATCGATTCGTGCCGAGCTCGGCACGTTAAGTTAATGAGTCGATAATTGATTAACATTGTTGAGAAAACAAGTCAAATTTAAACTTCAACGAGTCGAACTTGAACCTTAAGAAGTTGTACTATAAAAAATTATTCTAAAAACCCATATTTTCGAGTCAAACCAATTTCAATTTATTAGCTAAACAAACTTTAAATGAGCTCAAGTCGAGCCGATTCAAGCCTTAATGAAACAAACTCACGAGCGACTCATTTCGTTTAACAACCTTTAGGTTTAATATTATGATAGCATACTCGAGTGACTTCACATAAAGATGCTAAACGAAACAAGTCACTTGTAAGTTTGACTCGACTCGCCATGTTAAAGTTCAAATTAGCCTCGACTAGCCTGATAAAGTAACCAGACTCAATGGCGTTCAGTTAATAAGTTTAAGAAATTGGAAGATTTTATACAACTTTTTAAATTATCTGCTTAATTCAATCGTCAACATTTAAATTTAACTTACTTGGTTGACTCAACTCGATAAAGTTCGAGTATTTTTAGTAGCTTTGCTCATATCGTTTTCACTTGCCTTTATCATAGTTTATAACTTTATACAATAGGATTAAGAATTACCAACTAAATCGCAAAGCGGGAAACACGTTTTCGCTCTAAAATCCCCCATTTGGTAGCCTCCTTCGGCTTCAAGAGCTTCTATGGCCGCTCTCAATTTCCTGGCATAAGAGTTTTGAAACCCTGAGCACAGACCACTGAGTATAATCAGTTTTGGTACCATCGCAAAACCTGCTACCGAAATGGGCAAGAAACCGTCAGCGTCGAACGCAGGTGCCGGAAACGAGGAGATGCACGCGGCGGCGCGATCCGGAGTTCTGGCGGCGGTGCAAGCCGCATACGGCGCCAATCCTCTCGCCGTCAACTCGCGTGACAGGCACTCCCGAACACCGTATCCTTCTGTATCTTTTATTCAATTTATCAATTTAGTAGTAATTTTCGCCTATCAGCTTTATCGATATGGATGTGCTGCTTTATCTCGTTTGGGCTATGGTGTCCTTATTTGGGAGCTTCAGGCGATGTTCTTCTAGGGTTAGTTCACTTGATTTTTATTTTACTTAGATTTCATGTGGATCTTTTTTCTAGGCTGCTAAGTTTGAATTTGGTAACTATTTTTTTGGATTATGTTGAGTTTGCCAATGTTTTGCACTTGAATTTCTCTGTGAATTTGAACGTGTATAAGATAACAGGCACTATTGTACTGCAATTTGATATCGGATGTTCCATGGTGGAGTTGAGTTGAAAATAGTTGTTCGAATGGCACAGTTTATCTACTGAGTTGCCCCCAAATCTTTGGGAAAACATAAAAATGCAGTGGGCAGATACTATTTTTAAGCTAGTATTTGGGTGTGACTGTAGAACTAGTTGAATATTTTTAAGCTAATATTTGGGTGAAAGATAACAATATCTATCATTGTAGCATTATTTTGAGAAAGTTTCCTGGTCGATTACGTGTATTACTCGATAAAATCAGCAAAGAGATCACTTACCATTTAGTTAGGTCTTGCCCCCCGAACAAAAGAAAAGAGTGTTTGATCACTTCTGGCTGTAGAAGTAGTTTAAGAGTTTTGACTTTTTTGAGACGCTAGCTCTTGATTTGAATGCATGTATATTGACATAAAAATATTCTTATATTTGTGATACATAATTCTAATACGCAAATGCTTTGAGCTTCTATTACGATTCACCGCTCCCCTACAATAACAATAACTCTCATCTAGTGACACGGTAAAGAGTAGGATTTAGTTTTACGGCAAGGTATCGAAGTACATATTGTATTGCATTAATAGTTTGTTTCCCTTAAGTGAAATTCAACAAAAGACTGCATCTAGCAGCGTGGTCCGGGCACGCCGAGATCGTGAGCTATCTGTGTAAGAACAAGGCTGATGTTGGTGCAGCTGCCATGGACGACATGGGAGCCATTCACTTTGCGGCCCAAAAGGGTCATCTCGAAGTCGTGAAGATTCTATTATCTTCCGGAGTCTCCATCAAGTCCTGCAACCGCAAGGGTATGACGGCCCTTCACTATGCCGCCCAAGGGTCCCACATCGAGCTCGTGAAGTACCTGCTGAAAAAGGGAGCCAACAGGGACTCTAGGAACAAGGCTGGAAAAAGCGCGGTTGACCTCTCGGGCAGCATGGAAGTTCGAAAATTGATGCTCGAGTACGAACATTCATCCGGGAAAGGTGATGAAAAGGGCAAAAAAGGAAGGGATGGAAATGATGAAGTTGAAGAGGGTGAGGTTCTGAAGAGGAAAAGCGAAGAGGAAATAGAAGGAAAGCAGACGGGGGCTAAGAAGTCGAAGGTGGCTCTCGGGCATCTGCTGGCTGAGGATGATGATGATGCGCAGGAAGAGGAAGAAGGTTAGTGAACTCTTCGTGTAGCTTATATGTTATCAAAAATAGGTGATTGTGAGTAGTTTTTGGTGTCAGTGAAGAGAGCTAAATGGCATGAGATATCTGAACTTTTACTTTTGTTAATTTGATCTTGAAATCATCATTCATAACATTCGTTCCTGGAATCTATTCAGAAGTTGTCGTTACCGGTTTTTGAATAATCGTGGAACAAGAGAACCGAGTTTCTTTTAGAAGTTAAAGCTTCTGTTGAACTATAAGAAGTAACTATTAATGATCAGCTGTTGTGAGGTTAAGAACAGCCCGAAAAAATGCAGTATTGCATACAAGATACATGATATATCAGTGTAAGTTGGGATATAAAATAGAAGAGCCGTAGCACAAAAATAGAGAATCGGAACCGATTAATGCATATATAATTATATACATGTACATTCTACGTATATATTCGGACCTGAAATCTTAAGATCATGCGCCAGTTAGATTGTTTAGATAGATCATGTTGATGGCTATTGGACTTGGACTTGGTATTGTTTTATCAAGTTTGAGGGCTTACGCAGAACGCAGTGTATGTTTTTTATTTGCATGGTAAATTTCGTTTGAAACGATGTTGTAGAAAGCAATGTGCAGACTTGCTTATTGCTTCCAAATCAAAACTATGTTATTTAATTAACTAGTGTTGCTACACAAAATATTTAATTATCAAAATATTATTAAATTATTTAAGATAAGATAAAGTGTGTAACAATATAATATTTATTTTAAATATTTTAATTTTTATTTTTCTAATTTATTTTTGTAGGTATGAATTTTATCCGTTATTAGTTTATACAATATTACAAAAGTGTAAGATTTAAGATATAATGATTGTATACAAATTTTATTTGCATGTACCTATATGATTATTGATTATATTAATTTACAACTTATTTAGCAATTCACATTTTGCATATTGCTCGATAACTGGGGCGAATACATAAGATTATTTCTAAATGCATGAACTACTAACTTATGATAATTAACTTTTTGTAACTTTATCTCTTTTGCAACACAAAATTTTCATAGTAAATATTTTATTTTGAATTTTAATGTTTTTTTTGTCTATATTTATTTATTTAATTTAAATTTTATCAACATATATAATTATTCAATTAATAAAAAATTAAAACATTTGATATGATATGTTTCAATGACTACCAAATGTTATAATTTCAGTTATTAGTTGATTACATAATTTTATTTACTCATTTTTTCTTATAAAATAGTATATAATAAAACATATATTTTTTTAATGTGAAATTTGTAATTCTTAATTCTGCCCGACCATCAAAAGATAATTTATTAATATAAAATTTATTTTTTAAGTAATATTATCAATACAAGTGAGATATTCATTAAAATTTTAATTTAATCATGGTTAATTTGAATAATTTTTTTTATAAAATTTTATTATTATTTTAAGTTATTCATTAAGCTAATATAATTAAATAATATAATTATTTTATTACATATTTTTAAGTGTTTTTCATTGACGAACGTAATTCATAACTACAACCATGAGATAATAAAAGTAATCAAAATAATATTTATAATTGTAATGAACAATTTCATTTTTAAATTATGTCAACGATATTATTGTGAAATTGGTATTATGGTCTTGCTCAAAATATGTAATCAATCAATCATTATATTTATTATTAAGTCCATTTATACGTAACTAGTGCGTATCCCGTGCGATGCACGGGTAAACATTATTAAATAATAATAATAATAATAATAATAATAATAAATAAGTATCGAGTACGAGTCACTCAATAAAAGAAGTGGGGAACCACTATCGATCTTTTCTTAAAAGAGCAAGAAAGATATTATAAATTAAAAATAAGGGTAAACGATATTATATAATATTTATAAATTAACATGTGGGGTTAGCATGTCATATAATTTACAGTATATCAGTTTATTATAAACGATATAAAATTAGCTTGTTCAAGAGAACATAAAATTTGCATGTTTAAACAATTAAAAACTCCTAAAATATTATATTAACATATTTAAAATTATCTAACCTTTTCTATATTATCATTAAAAGATGTGAAGTAACCTAAATTTTTTTAATTTTTTTTAAAGAAAATATATCTAAAAACATTAAAGTTTTTATTTGTATGAAAGATGTTTTCTGAATATGACATGGTAAAATATTATATAAAATTATCTAAATATTATAAGCCTAAATAAATACATTATAAAGTTTTGAAAGAAAATTTACCTAGTATATATAAAATAAATATTAACATGATGCTGAAAATTACGACGATACTATTGTACCTGAAAATTTGAGTATAGAAGATTTTAAAATTATTATTATTATTCTTTTGAGTAATTTGAGTCCAAAAGATTTCAAAATTATTCTTATTATTCTTTTAAGTAATTTGAGTACAGAAGATTTCAAAATTACTATTATTTTTTAGTTATTGTTAAAAAAAATTGTACGCACAAAATTCCACGGTTTATACAGATTTATCAATTTTACAAATAAAATGGGATTTATTTTATATTGAATGGAGACTAAGACAATTTTGAAAAAAAAAAACTGTATATTTTAAAAATTATCCTCTTGATTTTTGAAAGAATACATTTGTAATTTGACTTAATTATTGTAGAATTTTGAAACTTGTGGAAAAAAATTAAAGAGAAGAATTTTGATTGATTTGAAATTCTTAATCTATTTTGAATTTCGTGCAAATTGAAACCTAAAAAAATGAATTTCATTATAATTTTGTAATTTCCAATAGGTTTGTTAATTTTAAAGTGGCGCAAAATTCTTCATTTAAGGTTAGCCGTTCAAGGATAGAAGCATGTGATTCGATATTTTTTAATTCAATTTGAACAAAATCCATTAATTAAAAAGAGATTTTGAATCAACCCAAATTTTATGGCAACTAAAATGAGAAGGGATTTGGGATTTCAAATTTTCAATTCAAGTTTTAATGTAAATTTTTTGAAAATATGATTGTTTGGAATAAAAAACACAGTTGGATTTTTTTAAATCAAATATGAGAAATGATTTTGAATTTCAAATTATATTCAATGATCGAAATTTTAGAACTTAATGGAACCAAATCCACCAATTTATCTTTTAGGGGTTTAATTGAACTGTAATTTATTAAATGTACAAAATCCACCAAATAAATGAATTGTAATTTATTTTTTTAATAAAATAAAAACATCCGATTAGAACAATTGTAGAGAGTTGATGTTAAAAGAGTTTTTGATTTTTTGTAATACTAACTTAAGTTTATATTATTAAATTAGGCGTAATTTATTTTTTTAATAAAATAAAATTTGCAATGTGGTACACGATTATATGTTAAAGAAATTTTTTTTTTTAAAATTTGTGAAAATAAAAAAGGAACAACCTAATCTTGCGCAAAAATAAATAACAAACTCCATATTTAAATGCAATATATATATATATATATAAAGAATTACCATTTTTCTAAAATAGAAGGTCAAATTTTGGCCAGCATTAATTACCTACTATTTTTAGTAACTTTTTTATTTTTATTTTTATAAAATAGGGCAGCATTAAATGTTGCCCTTAAATTATGGAATTTGTTACTTTTGTTTCCCAAAAATAAAGTTACCTTACAGAAACATTTTTTTTTTTTTT